AATGAATGGTTGTCTTACTGGATATTCTGAGATATAGTGGACGGACTGGGTACATAGAAAAACCTACCGTACATATTGCCTCATACCAGACGGAGTATCAAGTAATGATATTTTTAGCACTCATACCAGACGGGATATGTGGACAACTCGATTCACCATTATACCGAACAGGGTATCTAATGATGGTATTTTTGGCGCTCATACCGAACGGGGTATCGAATAATGGTATTTTTGGCGCTCATACCGAACGGGGTATGGGGACGGCTGGTTAGTTGACAAGTTTGGATATTGGTTCACGCATAGTGGGACATCCCTATGGACCCCCAGGGATACCAGTAGAAAAATAAAAAAGGAAAGTTATTGTTTTTGCTTACTTGAATATGAGATTATAATGTTATTTGAGTTATTGTCTCTATAGGTCAATTTTAAAAATCTCGCAACGGTAAATATACAATAAATAATTTTTCTTATAATAAATGAATTTACTTAAATCAAGAGCTCCATTTGTTATTTTTATGATCTTCAGTTTCTGTATCGATGATCAGTGTGATATTATTACTGGACTAGTGTAACTCACCATTTCATTAACTATTTTAGATCAAGATGACCAAAATTCAGATTCAGATCCTGATCAATAAGAGGGTTGTAAATAGTTCACCACTCGGACTCCCTTCAAAAGCTAGTGAAGGTCGTCATAGGACGCTCAGTTATTTATTTTTTATTTATTTCTTTGATTTTTGTTTGTTTTTTTATAATGGACATTCTCTTAACCCTATTGGGTGTTCTAAATTATTGCGTAAAAAATATAAATCCTAAACTTTATTATTTCGCTTGCGCATTTAATTTATGACTTTATTTCCTTTTAAGTTCTGAATTTTTACACGTTATTATACGCTTCCGCATTTAAATTATGAATTTATTTTATCCATGGTTTCGGACCACTATAACAAAAAAAAAATTAACTGTTATATTTTTATTAAATTTTTAAAAATTTATAAAATATAGTAAGTATGTACTTTATTCATACATTCAGTTAAATAATTATCTGCTTTAATTTTATGATATATATAATCACTTGAAAGATAAAAAGAAAATATAATATTAAAATTTTAATGGAGCACGTCATAACAATAAAGACGAGATTATAGACCAACATTTATCAAATCAAAAGACTATAGTCATGCAAAAAGATCCTCGCTTCTATTCACTATTATTTTTATCAATCTATCAATAGAAGAAATTTATTTTGTTTTCTTCTTATGTTAATAGGACCAAAATTTACATGGCCAGTAATTCCCAATAAATTATTCAAATTTCTGCTCAACAAGTTCATCTTTCAAGATGTTCCTTCCTTAATATGAAATATTATATCAACTATAAAGTTAACTGTAATTATACTCACAGTCTCTTTTATAGCTAATAATTAGGCTATAATCTTTTATTCATATGATTTTATATTTTTTAAAAAGATATATTAAATAATATATTGACGTGATTTCACATTTTTTGAGAAGATATATTACATAACACTCATCTAACTTCTCAAAACTTATGGCGTGTCTGTACACCCAAGTTTACCCAATGTCAAGGCATCAACATTGGACTTCTAACTCATTTAAAGGAGAACTCCATGAATAAGACCTTGAAGTCACTAATTAGGTTGAAAGGCAAATCCTTATGCAATTACCATTCCTAAAAACTGAGACTGAGAAAAAAAAACAACTTTAACCCACTAAGCACTTATAATTATATCAAATCAAGACATTCTTCCACATCAAAGA